GGCCAATGGTAAGAATCCCTACTCTCAGACTTATACACCTGCCTTTCCTCTGCTCTCTCTTCTACCTCCTCTCCTTCTTAGACCAACAGTAGCCAAATTTCTGCCAGCACCCTGTAGGTCAACAGCATTGGTGGCGGTCGTTGTTAACCTGGGCCTCGACCGATCCGGTATGGAATTCACATTGATGATTCGCATGTTTAAATTTGGCATGTTTTTACGCCGGATGCCCTTCCTGATGCAACCCTCTCTATTTATCCGGGCTTGGGACCTGCACAGAAGTCACTGGCTTGCAACCCCTGTGGCTAGATTAGTGTGAATCCCCATCATCAAAGAAGCAAAAAGACACAAAGAAACGGGACAGGCGACGGCACAAGGCGAGGATAAACACTGGTGTGACGTTTCCCAGATGGAAATCCTTGATGAGAGACAAATGTTTCTCGAAGGACGCCGAAGTTGCCTGTTTTCTGCTGGCTAGGTCAATTAGCCAAGCAATTAAAGTTAAGCTAAATGCATGTTTTTGTTTGGTAGCTTTAGCCAGAACATGGCCCGTGTGAAGTAACCCACTGTGGTCAAGTGAGCTGCTGTTAGCTTTTGCTTTGTCCTATACTTATGGTAATCGTTCTGAAGTCCATTAGCAATCTGCAGCTTCACCACTAGATGTCGCTAAATCTGAGCAGAATTTGAATAATACTTTGTTAAAAACAGTGAGGGTTTTATGGGTCATGCTACCTGCTCAAATGGACTCTTGGTCTTGATGCCTTTCCCTCCTACAAAGACCCAGTTATCTCGGAAGCCCAAATTACCCACAGACGTGCTGCCCAGCTCGCCAATTAGCTTCCTGGTTTCATCGTTCATTCTACAGAACAAAGATAGCATTACTTTACAGCCACACCTGCAGTGACACAATAAATATTAAAGACATGTATTTATGAGAAGTTAAGTGGTAGGGGATAGTGTGCAAAAAGTCCTCACTTTGTTGCAGCATCATCAAATGAGGCCATCATCACAATTGTTCCATCTTCAATTTCCTTTAGGAACTTAAGGAAGGGAGCCACTTCTACAGAAGATTTCACGTGGTTAAACACAAAATATGCATCAAATATTTAAAAGAAAGTTTTGAAATGCACTCACCTCCTCCCCACATGTCAAAAGATGCTGTATTGATAACTGCCCCTGTTTTCCCTGTGGGGGGAAAGGATCCCAGTTTATTCTACTTTAAATCTAGGTTTAACAAACATTAATTAACAGGAGTATACGTTTTTTACTACATTAATGACAAACTCATGGCAGTTGTTCATTACTATGCAATTACCTCTAGGAATTGTATATTTTGGTTTTGAAACGGACAGGGGTACTCAGCCTAATTAACAAGAAATATTATTATGAATAGAACCAAAATATTCTGCTGTGGAGAGGCTTAGGGTCTTAGCAGTTCTAGCGTAGCACTATAATATCATAGCTGACTATCATTATCATCAGGTTATTTGTCTTCGAGGTGTGGAACTCTATCCGATTGGATTACCATTAACCAGGGCAATGTTGATTCCTCTTCCTACGTTGTTTTTCACACCACTCATTAGTCTACAGTAAGGAAGAGAAGCACAATAAGAGCAGACCCCTTAGAGCACAAGACACAAAAAAGGCTTATAACACACTCTCGTGCAGTTGCATGCAGATTTGTGTATGATGTATTTGTCACCAACTAAAATTCCACCTGTGGTGTTTAATAGGTAATAAATAACATAATTGGGATACAAATACTGTTCATTAATTGATGCATAAAGTGTCCTCAGAGCTGCATATACTTACATTACAGAGTGTTTTAAATATTTCTGTATACTGCACAGTACAAGGTTACCCAGTGTAAATATTGTTGATAAGAAAGCAGTTCTGGGACTATAATGACACCCTGCCAATTTTATTAAACAGCCAGGACTTTTTAACAGGTGAGCTGACTGTTGTAACATGTTATAAAGCATAAAAACTCAGATATGACAACTATCAAGTTCATTTTTGAGTTTACATTTGATTGTGTTATTGAAATTAGTGGTCAGATTGAACAACTACTAATTTGAGATATATATAAAAATCATCGACCGCACTTCTGTTACTACTTTTCAAGCACAGAATGCAGCTGCAGTCTACCCTATTTAAAACTTACTGCTGTGAAGCTATGAAATAAAGCTCTGAGCTCTTACACTTGGTCCTCCAGGCAGATTCTGGGCCCCACCACAGTGGCTGCTCCACTCGCTATCTTGAAGGCAAAGTGTTCAGGTGGACATTCTTTGGACAGCCCACATTTGTACCCGTCTGACTTTGCTGCTGTGAATACACAAACTCCATTTATAAATCAAGTTACAGGAAGTGCAGTCACACAAGCCTATTGACAAACAGGTGCAGACACAAAACAAGAAGCAAGAGTTCAACTTCAACTCCACCAAAAGGGACCTATTTATAATCTAAATGCTGTGCACCGACTTCAACACAAACCTTAAGCTGTGTAGTGATTTTCTATTCAACAGAAGCCTACAGATAAATTTAGCCATATCCAGTCTTCTAGTGCCAACTGGTACAGACACATTTACACAGGGAGGAACATGTATTAGATGTGTCACTTGATGAGCAAATAACAGATGAAGCAATAGTAATTTGAGCATACTTACAGTCTTCATTCATTCGCTTAAATTTGGCTGAAAAGAAAAACAACACCACATGATTAAAGAGATTTTCACTGGCCACCTAAATGTTGATTATTTAAATGCAGCTCTGTGGAAACCCCCCTTCCCTTAAAAAAAAAAGCACTTGTATGAAAAGGAAACAAGGAGAACACTATGTACAATGTCATATTTATCTAACTGAACATAAACTACAACAGTACAAAACATGTTGCTACATTTGCATCTAAACTGTGCATATGTATTTGTATATTTCTAAGTACTTTATTTTTATTTTCCTAATGCACATTCTTTTTCTGTCTTTCTTTTTGGTCTGTAAGCCTTATCTTGTTTACTTGTCTACTCATTCCTTTACAGAAGAACATTGTACACACACAGAGAGCCACTGTACCAGAGTCAAATTCCTCGTGTGTCCAACACACCTGGCCAATAAAGCTGATTCTGGGGTCTGAGTCATAGTAATTGAGTAAATATGTGCCCTGTTTGATTTCCATCTGGTACTTTGGCACATCCTTAGCACTGCTAATCAGTCTAATACCTGCAACTGTAATGAGTTTCATCTTGTTACTCACAAGACGCATTGCCAAGTATAAAATCCATGTTGATCTCTAGCAGCTGAAAAGCCAGAAAGACAGCTAGGAAGAAGACGAGGGTAAGTGTTGCTAACTTCAAAATACCTGCAAAGGAAAGAGATCAAATAGACAAACAGTTGTTTATCAGCACAATTCAAATTATTTAACAGCCCCCATAAAGATTTCCCATGGTCTTACATACTGTTGTGTATAATAACCTTACTGTATAGCTTTAAGGGCATACACTTACTGCCAGGCCTGATCATCTTTTATCGAGTCTCCAGCCGCTTTATCCACAGCTACCAACCTGCACCAGTAAAACACAAAATCAGTTGTGCTGGTTTTTCTTTTTTATCCGTTTCTCCTTAGCCTACAGGAGGTAACATTTGAGAGGGGGTCCATAGTAACATGGCATGGATGGAACACTGAATGGGCCTGTCAGGCACAAGGCTCAAGGGGTCAGGGACCTGGGAGACTGGATTGGCACATCTACCTGCCTCCTAATCTCCTCAATAACCACCTTCCTCGTTAAACTGAAACCACCACCTCCATGCTGTACCTGCCCTACAATATTCCTATATTTAAGAGCTGCCTGAGCCTGCAATACTGCCTCCTTCAGGTTCCACTTAATCCCTGCTGAGACTATTGGTGCTGCACTCTGCACAGCTACATCCCTGGATTCCTCTAGCATTATCTCCAGTCTAGCCTTAGCACATTTAAAATCCTCTGGTTATAGGGAGCTCCAAAATCCCTTTTCCACACAGGGCCGAGGGCTGTGGCAGCATGGAGCTCCCAGCCACTTCCTAATGCACGTGCTAAACACTCTAAATAAGTGCATCATACACTGTCAGTGGCCATAACAATTGTGGCAAAAGACCAAACTGCAGGCACCACAGTTTGTGTTTGCCTGGGAGGCCTGACGCCTCTATGCTCTTAATCCTATCAAGTGCCTGCTGTCTCAAGGCCTAAATCTGCTCTTTATCACTACGAGCTGCATCATACCACCTACCTAATCTTTTGACTGGCCTCTATACAGGATACAGTATAGAATAATACAGTGTTGGAATTGGCTTATTATTTAAACAAAACCTGTTATCTGACAGCACACCTTTCCCCTACTGAAATGCTCCTTGATTTCTCTGGCTTCACCTTCATTCTAGCCCACTTTAAGTTAGCATTCAGCTTGTACAATAGTCTTTTGGTACATGATACTGTGGTGGTGATAGTTGTCAAGTCATGCATGTACGCTCTTATGGGTGGCAACTGTTGCCATGACGGAAGCCTCGCACCTCCTGCAACCCATCTAGATGTCCTAATAATAACCTCCATTGCCATTGTAAACAATAGTGTTGAGATGTGCATCCTACCATGATGCGTATCTCCAGTTGCTGCCAAGCTGTAGTATACTCTGCTATTGTGAAAGATACAGTGCCTATAAAAAGTATTCACCCCCTTCAAGTCAGTATTTAGTCAATGCACCTTTGGCCGCACTCACAGCACTGACATCCAAGATTCAAGATTTTTATTTGCTATTTATGCATAAACAGACAGTTTAGGCATATAGGAATTCTTGTGCCGCTTTCTTGGAGTCAGGTAAAGAGTTAAAAGCCAGAAAAGAACACCTAGTCTGAAAATAAAGTTACATAAGAGTGACATACTATAAAAACGCAATACAAAAAAATAAGATAATAGATAACAGATGAGGTCATGAGCGTCAACTATTTCACATAGTGGAGTTGGATATGGTATTTCTCTTGGTGAGGTAGTGAGGGGTTATTGCACATTTTTCTCACATTTTTGTATTTCAGTTTTACTGTGGCAGGTAAAAAGTTGTTGTAACATCTTGTTCTGTGTGTGGTAATACTGTCCGCCCTGCTGTGCCTGAGGCTGTAGATGCAGTTTCTGTGTCTGAGAAGGCAGCGAGCTGGGTGGAGTGTCTCCGATTATGTTCTCCCTTTTATTCGACAGCGCTGTGTGTACAGTGTGTCCATAGCAGGCAGTTCAGTCCCAGTGATCCTCTCTGCAGTCTTCATGACCCTTTGAAGAGCCTTCCTCTTTGCTTGTGTGGTGTTACCATACCAGACTGTGATGTCAGTAGTGAGGACGCTCTCTACCAGTCCTCTATAAGCCTGGGTGAGAGGGCGACGGTTCAACCCAGCTTTTCTGAGCTGCCTGATAAAGTATAGCTGCTGCTGGGCTTTCTTCATTGTGGAAGCTGTGTTCAGTGACCAGCTCAGGTCAGATGTCACCTGCAGGCCCAGGAACTTGTGGCTGTCTGCCCTCTCCACCTCAGTCCCTTTGATGGTCAGAGGCAGCAGAGGGGAGGGGTTCTTCCTAAAGGGGTTCTTCCTTTTTGAAACCTATTAAAGCTTCAGCACTGCTTGAGGTTTTCAGGCAGAGATATTAATTGAACCATGATTGATGAAGCCCAGGATGGTGTTGTTGTCAGCATATTTAATGATGATGGTGTTGTCCTGGTTGGAGACACAGTCGTGGGTGTACAGGGTGAAGAGTTTGGGGCTGACACAGCAGCCCTGCGGTGAGCCTGTGCTGAAAGTGAGCTCAGCAGAGACCCGCCCTCCCATTCTGTCCACCTGTGGTCTTTCAGTCAGGAAGTCCAGAGTCCAGTGGGAATCAGGACCCCAAGGTCTATCAGCTTCTCCATCAGCCTGCCCGGACGAATGGTGTTGAATGCAGAACTGTAATCCAAGAAGAGCATCCTAGCATAGGTACTGCTGTTGTCCAGGTGTTTCAGGGTATGGAATAAAGCCAGAGCCACCGCATCATCCACTGATCTGTTGGGGTGGTAGACTGTGTGGATAGGTCGCAATCAGACTTGCACATCTGGACACTGCAATTTTACTCCATTCTTCTTTGCAAAACTGCTCAAGCTCTGCCAGGTTGCGTGGGGGATTGGGGTGAACAGCCCTTTTCAAATTTAGCCACAAATTCTCTATTGGACTGAGGTCTGGGCTTTGACCTGGCCAGTCCAGAACACTCACCTTGTTCTCTTTAAACCATTTCTGTGTAGCTTTCGCTGTATGCTTCGGGTCATTGTCTTGCTGGAAAATGAATCTTCTTGCAAGCCATAGTTCTCTTGCTGGCTGAATAAGATTATCCTCCAGGATTTACCTATATTTTGCCTTTACAAGCCTTCCAGGGCCAGCTGCTGAGAGGCACTCCCCACAGCATGACGCTGCCACCACTGTGCTTCACAGTGGGGATGTGATATGTTTGTGGTGATGTGCAGCGTCTTGTCTGATGGCCAAAATGCACCACTTTGGTCTCGTCAGACCAAAGAGCTTTCTTCCACTTGACAATGGAGTCTCCCATATGCCTTTTGGCAAACTCTAGTAGAGATTTAATAGGAGATTTCTTCAACGGTGGCTTTCTCTTTTCCACTCTTCCATAAAGCTTTGAGTGGTGAAGAACCCAGGCAACAGTTGTTGTATGCAGTGTCTCTCCCATCTCAGCTGCTGAAGCTTGTAACTCCTTCAGAGTAGTCACAGGCTTCTTGGTGGTCTCTCTCACTAGTCTCCTTCCTGCATGGTCACTCAGTTTGAGGACAGCCCGATCTAGGCAGATTTAGACATGTGCCATATTCCTTCCATTTCTTGATGATGGATTTAACTGAACTCCGGGGGATGTTCAGTGCCTTGGAAATTTTTGTGTATCCATCCCCTGACTCATTCTTTTAATAAGCTTTTCTCTGAGTTGCTTGGAGAGTTATTTTGTCTTCATGGTTAATGGTAAACCAGGAATACTGATTAACCAGTGACTGGACCTTCCAGACACAGGTGTCTTTATACTACAATCACTTGAGACACATTCACTGCATTCTGGTGATCTCCATTTCACTGTGAGACCACTAGCACCAAATGGCTGGACCTCTGCTGAATTACATCAGTCATTTTAAAAGGAGGTGAATATTTATTCAATCACTTATTTCACACTACAGACTTTTATTTAATTGACATTAACACTACTATATTACTACAGACTTTTATTTAATTGACATTACTTTGTAGAAACCTGTTTTCACTTTGACATTAAAGGTTTTTTTTTATTTTGTCAAAAAAGCCAAATTATATTGATCATGATTGATTTATAAAACCAATAAAAGGGTAAAACCATCCAAGGGGGTGAATACTTTTTATAGGCACTGTATCTGGATATCCTGAAAATATTCTCTCACTAGCCCTTTAACTAGCTCCAGTACTTTAAAACAGGCTAGTGCTTCCCACAGTAGGCTATGGGGTACAGAAACACATCTAAAACAGAACATGTAAATAGCTTTTCGTCCCTCCTTGCTGACTGAATTTGATGCCAGATATTACTTATGAACTGATGTGATGCTGAAAAACCTGCTACTCCGGCTACAACTTATTCCTGTGTTATGCATTAGAAGGCACATAGGCCTCTACTGCCCTTTGTCATCTGAAACTTTCTCCTTGGGGATAAAGATCCCTCCTGCTCTTCTCCATGATCAAGCTTCTTCTTCCATGTTACTCTGCTAATTTAAATATCTTATATGGTACATCATTCTCTCAGTGTTGGTGCTTTGGTGTTTATAGGCTGTTCTACTGCCCCAATGGGGGCATGTGTACTGGCAGACCTAGATTCCTGTCCCTATCTTAATCTGTATCTTTTCAAAGTAAGCCTCTAGTTCTCTCTTAGGAACTTTCAGGGTGCCTCTTGGCTCCTCTAAGCCTTTCTGCTCTCCTTAGATTTGCCAACCTAGATTTCAGGTCATTGTGTAACATATTAAAAGCACCACAAAAAGTGACTACATATAATGTGGTTACTCAGCCTGTAAGACTTGCTCCCACAAGTGTTAGAGAAGTTTACATGTCTCTACACAGGGGGCCTTAGTTTCACAATCCCCCCGTGGGCGACGGTGTGGGCGATGGCTAATAGTGGAAATTTGATATTCCAAATTTAACGTCACTTTAGCTTTAAGTAAATGAGTGTCAAGCGGTTATAATGAACCTACCTACCGTTAGTTGACCGTGCGATACTGTAGGCGTCATACCCTGCAGGTCAAATTTGAAAAACTAGCCGTAGTACTGAACGATCAGATCGGCGCTGCGTTGAGTCACTGCTGTAACATTGTCACTTCCTTGTCTGGGAATGCTGCCTTTAACTGAGACCGTAATAACTCCCGTGTCAACACAGTTAAAATAATACTCGGATCTAGCGCTAAAAAGCACTTTTTGGATGAACGCTCACACTTTGCTTACCTGTTAAAATGCCACGATAAGGACAAATGCTGGCGCGGCTTCCGTCATTCGAAATGTTTCTGGTATTGACAGCTGAATCAACTGAACAAGGAAAGACCGCGAGAGGTTCCACTCTGTCGAAAAAAACTAAGATCAACAAGCAGGAAGGCCCGTAGAGAAGTGACGTTTACAGAAACGAAGCTTCAAGGTTATGCATTATGCAAAGCACATATTCATGTTCAGCCAAGTCCAACATTAATCACAAAATCGCTTTTTTGTGTGACAACTTTCAAAACTCTGAGCAGAATCTACAAATAAAGTAATACAAATAACATTTAAACAACTTTAATTGTAGCATTCATCACCTCATTTTTGCTTCTATGTATGTATGTGTGTGTGTGTGTGACATTCATCACCTCATTTTTGCTTTCATGTATGTGTTGGTTAGCAGGATCACGGACAAATGACTGGATGGGTCATCAGCATACTTGGTACAGACACTGGTGGGGACCAACCTCAAAAGTGATTAGATTTTGGCTGAAAAGGTTAAAGGTCAAAGTCACAAAATGGAAAAAAAACATTCACACAATTCCCATCTTTAACATGAGGCTTGAAGGTGGTTTGAAATTTTACACACATATGTGGAGTGGCAATGTCTATCACCAGACCAAATTTCAGCTGGATTTCAGCTCTAAAGGCCATTTAAAGTTAGCATTGAAAACCCCATATAACACATATTTTCTGCAATAACTTGGCCTGTAATGAAGATAGAACCTTGACATGCTCAGGTAAGATGCACAGAACTGCTTTTGATACCTTAAAAGTTGATCCAGATCAAGGATTTTAGGATACATTTGTGTTGTTCTGGATCTCATTTTTCACAAGGGACCCACCTGCGTGAACAAACGTAGCGAGGTACATGTGCTCTCTGAATGCTCTTGTTAGTGAGGGTGATTTGGTAAATCTATATATATGAAATAATACTCCTTTCTATACGTACAAATTTAACAGTTAATCCTGTCCAACATATTACCATATTGAATATTGAAGAATGAAACCAGTTAAACATATGACAACCATTTATTCATACACAAATATGTGGTTCAGTGATAAATTGTTAGATTGACAAAAGGCACTTAGTACTTCCTGTTCAATCTGAGTCCAATTTCGTGGATGAATATATTTCAATGTATTTTATTTTGCTGCAATGAGGTAAAAGAAATTCTCAATGCTTGTTCTATTGTTATGAGCTCTTTTTGAGCCATCTCAATGCGTTTTTATTTTGTAGCCTACATTACTTCTACTCTGTAGAATAGTGGCCGTAGTAGCAAGTTTTTCGAGTGAGATGTCTTAATAATAAATTATCTTTGTTTCCGTCGCACTTGTGCTTCCTGTTTTTTTTCTTCTTCTCTGGTCATTTTGAAACAGATGGGACATGTCCATCGCCACCAGCGCCATCTGATGGACTAACGCTTTAAAACAAACGTTTAATGTACAGAATATTTTGACATATATCATATAACTCAACAGGAAGAGCACATAATATGCAGTTTTTTCTTGTGTTTTTTTACAAATGCATATTTTTAGGATGGCATGTTTGTTTTCACTTGGAACACAAAGTAAAAAGGTGATGCAAAACACAGTAAAGAAAAAACTAATACAAATCAAAGATTAAGCTAAGTAGAGCAATGGCATTAAGCAAGTTCAATAAATTAAGTTATTTAACATTTTCATGCTTTTCATTCTAAATCACAGAACTTGGCATGGTCCAACAAAATGCAGCTGTCATTGTTTTTGGCACCGTTGGTTTTAATCATAACATTCATTATATCCAAACGTGTCATTCAATAAGGTCCTGGCAAAATAAGAATAAATATCAGTATCACACCATCTAAAAGAGATTTTGACCTCAAATCAAAATATTTACAAACAAGTGATAATTACATACAAGTGTTATAAAATGATACTAGTGGTAATAGCTCTTACCTCATCAGAGTCCTGCTGGCAGGCTGTGCTATTGGTACTAGTGACGCTTTCGATATCAGGTGTAATGCTGTTATCATCCTGAATCTGAAGGTTAGAGAACCGATACACGGGTGTCCTGTATAGAGTAACAGGAAACCACACTGGTCAGCTTCTACTGAGTGCCAAAGTTGTACATGCTGTGTAGTAGTGTGTCTAGCTCACCTGTATCTATAAACCACTCTCCTCACAGCCAGGATAGCGGAAGCGATAGCTACCAGGACAATAACTCCTGCTCCTGCACACACCAGGATCAGGACTAGCCTCTCTCGCTGGAAAATACATGTAGCAGTTGTTATATTCCTAAAAACTGAATATGGTTATGTGAAGGTATGCACACTGCCTAGAGCAATAGATCTACTAACTGGTGTGTCAAAGTGTATGACTTGAGGCGGCTGCCAGCTAGGTGGACCAGGGCTGGATTTAACACCACAGGGTCTGACTGTCTGCTTTCTGAACTGAGGCGTGAACCCTCCCTCACATTTATTACTCGGGACCTTACGATACCTACAAACACAGTAAAATGGGTGAGTATGTGCAGGATGTGTTTCTCCTTATTTTGAAAAGCAGTGACTGTTTTTACCCTGTTGTCAGAAGCTCATCCTCCTCTCCATTCAAACAGAGCTCCAAAGTTTTATTTGCAGCACTGAGTTGTCTCACACACTCTGATGTAATCACATCACGATAGTAGGTGTAGTCACTGTAAAAAACAGAAAGCATGTTCACTAGGGACTATCCTCCAAAACGGGTTCAGAGGCTGATTTGAAAATGGCATAACATTTCTATAGTCCCTATAAGATGTTATAAACACTGTCTTACCACAGGTAATCTTCTCTGGTACACAGGCAGGGGCTTTGCTTTTTCCTCACCACAAAGTTTCTCCCATTTCTGCAAACAGACTGTTTCTTTAACCTCCTATAAGTCTCCTTGACACCCAGAACACAGCCGTTCCTCTCCAAGTCCCCCCCTCCTGTAGAATGGGCCAACCACTCTTCATAATCCTGATCATTACCTGTCAAGTCAGATGATGACCAAGCAGAACATAACTATCACTGGCAAGAGTATTTTTTACATTAGGACAAACTGTCCTCTTTTCAAAGCATGTCTGTAAAATGTATTAAAAACAGGAACAGTACCTAAGAATAATATGTTTTTAGGTATTAGTTTAGGTTATGGAAAGTCCCAGGTAATGGTAAACTGCTGTATGGCTCCATCTGAGTGGAGAAAAGTCAATGCACCACCAGGTGGCAACATACCCTGTAAAGGAAGAGGAAAGATAAAGTAGCTGACAGCATTTAACATCTTGACTTACACTCTCTAGTAATGAGGCTCTGGAAATCAATGGTGACAGCCACCCACATGGGCTGGCCGTCATCCTCGGGCCGGAAGCCCCACACGCTGACAATCATCGTCCCTGGCTCGGCGGCCAGGCCTGCAAAGAAGAAGGGCTGCTCAGTGAAGTTATACAACTTCCAGCACTGGCCCTCGTCAGTGGAGAACCTGGTGAAGAGAAATGTAGTGAAAGTAAATTAGGGTATTATTTGAGACATTTATGAGCAAAGTAACTTTCTTATAATGTTAGTTAATTGTACAGGAGGTTAAAAAAAAATTTGCTCAGTACTTAATAGTCTTGACTTGTCCTTCATGCTGTGCCTCCACAGCCACAATTAGACCACCAGAGTTCAATATGCTGTAGTGGTGAGGACCCCTCAGTGTCCCCCACCAGTTATAACCCCCATCTGAGGACACAAACACATCTGGGTGCTGTGATGATGAGAGAGAATCCCCAACAGTGCCTGGAGAAGATATTATATTTAGATCATTATCTCATTAGACTTACAATTTATCTTAGCAACTGAGATAAGAATTTCTTATAATAGCAGAGCTATTTAAATTTGAGAGTCTAAATTCTGAATTAATTGATCCTTTTTAACAAAGGTTGAGTAAACTGCAGTTAAATTACCATGAGCGATAACCAGACCAATAGCAGTCGGCTCAGACAGAGCCAGCATGGGAACTATTCGGTTGTTCCGACTGTGTTCTCCATGAATATGAAGATTGCACTGATGAAAACCACACACAAAAGCACTTTAGTGAACAATAACTACCTTGAATATGTTAATGCCAGTGAATACATTTGCAAACAGCTATTATTTTGTCTGCATGCAACATACTTTCTTAACTGGCTCTCCACAATCCACATTCTCAGGTTTGGTAAGTTGTCTCCACGTCCCTCCTCGGTTGAAGGAAATGACAGATCTTATTCGGCCATCTGCAACAAGACAGAATGTTACGGTCATAACCAAGTATTATATCAAAATGAAAAGGTGAATGAATGGCTATAAAAGACAGCAGCTTGTTGTGAGGAAGGTAATGAGAAGTAAGTGAACCTCAAGGCTTAGGTGAGTCATTAGAGCTGGCTAACATCTCTATTCATGAGGCCCCCATATGCAACTCATGGGCCACGGCAGAACACCACAAAGAAAGCAGCTGCTCTCCAAAAGCAACATCCCTGCAGGCCTAAAGTTTGCCAAAAAGTGCAGTGACAATCCACAACTCCGCTGGGAAAATCCTTTGTAGACTGACAAAGCTAAGGCTGGATTGTTTGGGAAGAACACTACATGTGCTGTGAAAAGGGATGCCAACAAAGAAAACTCCTCCCAAGCCAAAGACATTCTGTGGAAGGAGCATTGCTGCTTCTGGGCCTGGACATCTGCCATCATCAAGGAGAAAATAAACTCCCAAGCTTATGGACATACACAATCATGTTAGAGCAGCGGTTTACCAGTTGAAGCTCTGAAGACGTTGGCTGATTCATCAGGACAATGGCCTTAAACATCAATAACTCTACTGAGGAAAGACATCAAGACATAAATCTAACTTTTAGAGCATTCCAGTCAGAGCCCAGACCTTAATCCAATACAAATGCTGTGAGATGACCTCACTGACTTTTCATTCCATACATCTTAAAGGTGCATTAACTAAGATTTTACACATATCTGTATATTTGATAAAGAGAGAAAAACAACAAACTGACAACATAAGAGGGTCCATAATGCATACAAGGGAAGGGCAGTGATGACTAAGGAGACCAGGATGGTAAACACACAAACTAACGACAGGAACTAGGATAGCAGAGGATGAGAACGGACAGGTGAACAAAAAGAACCAACGTAAACAATGTAATCCACAGCACAGAGACTGTCAGCGTGGAAGACAAAGCACATATTTCTGTGTTGCTAACCGCATAATTAGCGTGATAAGGTCAAGCCAAAACGCACAGAGACTGTCAGCGTAGCATCTTACACACGTCTAAAAATATGCGGGTCAGACACAACAGTTGTATAACTTACTTTAAGTATAATACATTACATGTTGCAATGCTCCATCGACGACGGGGCGTCTGCCAGAGGTATAAATAAGGAAGCCAACAAATCACCGGAATACGCCTCAGGTGTGCGCACCGACCCACGAGTAATTACCTGATGCGACACAGATGAGGCGTTGATCCCGCAAAAAGGGAGAGCAGGAGAGGAAAAAAGAAAGAGAGGCAGGTCCAAAATCCACAGAGTGCTGTTTGTGCATTATTAGTTTAACCACACTGTGTTTGTCTGTATTTGTCTTAGATGAAAATTAGATAACATTATTTGACCAGATAAAGGAATTCAATTGTTTTTAGAACTGTAGAAATAGTGGACAAAGTGGTGGACGAAGCTAAAAATAAAATAAGACCCAAGTTATGATAAAGCTAAAGTATTCTTGAAGATGTAGCCAAAATTGTGAAATAAAGGGCTTCCAAAAACCTTGCATGTGTGCAAATGAAAAGCTGGAAGGCCTACCCTCATCCAGTTTATTAGTGAGGTAGACTCCTCTCATTGAAGTTATGTTAGTGAAGTCACTCTTCCTCTGTCCATCAAACAGGTGGCGCTCGAGTGACTTGTAGAACAAGATCCCACGGTCGTCTGAGATGTACATGGTCCCAAAGTAGGTGTCTGGAGTAAAGTACAAAGAGACAGGGGAAAAGAGAGAATTTAGAGAAATGTCCCTAGCAGATTGCAGTGATAATTTAATGACGTTAAAAGACTACGTGCAGGAGCTGGTGTCAGTTGATGTTGGGCTGACGCAAATGCCAGCATAATGACCAAAAGTCACTGTCAGTCATATTTTATTTGCGTGAAGGACGAGCTTAGTTGAGGAAGGTGATGGACATTTCGTTTCATTATCTGTGTAGGTGTGTGTGGGTGTGTGTGTGTGTGTGTGCGTCTGGGTTACACCCAGATCCCAAGATGTGTTTGTCAGCGTTTGCTGTGTAACCTAAGGCTCCCTTCCTCCCAGCCAACAAAAGATAAAACCCATCTAACCCATATTTCCCTTATTTATCTCAGCATTAGAGAAAGTCCCATCACTTAACCAATACAGGACTAACTGGACCATGTTCTAGGGAAAATCAGTGAGTCAATGAGTAAATGTGAAAGATATGATGAGGGGGAGGTAGAAAGAGAGAGAAAGGAACTAAGCCCAGGCAGCGTGTGCAGACACATGCCCAGTATGATGGAATGATTTGTCATCAAAACCAAGACTTTGTGAAACCAGTCTGGCCTTTACTGTTGAGTTTTTTCATTAAAGGGCTTGAGAGAGATGTAAATTCAGTCACGTAGTCTTAATAACAAAAGATACAACTACATGTCAAGCATGTTTTTTAACGTGCATGTGCTCATGTATGTCCTTTGTGTGGGCAAAGGGATTAACTGTGCATGTGTACGTTTGTGTATTACCTCCTGGGTTGTCCACATGCATAAAGAGCATGTCCTCATCTCCGTCCAAGATGGAGTAGAACTGCAAATACACACACATATCGTATCACAGGAGACAGAACAAATGTGGGAGAGAAAATCTCAATTAGAGATTTAAAAAACAGTGATGACTAATTTACTCTTTGGCACAAACCTTGTCTAATCGTCGTGAGATAGTGTGTTGGTGTTTGTGCTGTCAACAAGATGTTGGTGTGTAAACACGTGCATGTGGAAGGTTGGGGGAGGGGAGAGAGTTGTTTCATCAGAACAGATGTGTGTTCATTTGGTGTCAAAAAAGGAAATGTTGCCACTTATGTTTTTACTTAACCAATCTCTGTAACGTTCAACCACTAAAAGCATGCATGTAAGTGAAGTACTTGGGCAGGAGAGTTTAAAAGTTTCCCAGCGCCTAGTCTGACTCAAAGTCTGGGTGCAACATTGACAAAAGGCTTAATTATATTAACATGTGTGCATTTCCTGTGGTAGGGCTGGGTATGGCTTGAATTGGTTTCAGTATCATTCCCCATAATGTCCTTTGGTACAATAGCATCTAAAGTTGTCAAATGTATAACATTTATTGTATACACACTCATACAGGAACATCCTTAACAAGATAGTCAACGTAAGGCAAAATTGTTAATGTAATAAGACACTATCTGACCAAACAACAAGTAAACAAGATTATACATTAGACCAGACATTCGTTGCTAGTTGTCAGTGCCCGACAGTTGTGATGTTTGGTGTTCTGGACACATTAAATCAGCAGCAAGGGAAGGAAGTAAGTTATTATCTTTTGTCTCTGAGAGTATTTAAATATTTGTTTGTCACCTGCTCAGTGGAGGCAGAAGGAAGCAGTGCTCGGCTGTAGGTCTCTCCTTGGTCCGATGAGAAATACATGATACGAGGGGATCTCTGGGAGCAAAGAAATGCATCAGTGACTAGAAATGAAGCTGTCATTGGAATGTGTTAGTGTAATATTAGTGGCCTTTCACACTGTTTGACAGAAACATAAAATCTAAAGAAGTGTGACATGTCTGTATAATAATATGTCGACTTTTTTTCTGTGCATCTCACCGGATCTTCCATCACAGAGAAGAAAAGAAAGGCTCCAATGTAGCCAAAACTGTAGATGTCACTGTGGATAATGGTAAAGGTCTTGCCCAGATCCTTCGTCCTCTTTAGCATTAAATCTCCCCTCTCGTCCGCCTCAACTGCAGTGACAAGAAGCAAAGCTTGTGATAGAAATATGATTCTGCTCAATGTAAGACTAGGACCATATTTCAGCTGACACTCCAGAGTCTTATTTACTGGTTTCCCCTCTGGTTAGATTTCGGTGAAGCCCTGAAGTCCAACTTCTGCATCTTTAAATTTTGATTTTAAGATTGTCAGATGGGGTGTGGATTTTTCACATTTAGATGTGAAAGGGTCAGGGTTATCGCTGGTTGTCTAAGCAGTACTTGTATTGTATGTGAACTCAGGGCTGTGTCCTGTCCCCTCTGTATGTCCTCTATTACAGTGATGGTAGAAATCAGGACAAGAACAGGCACATTCTTAAATGCACACATGAACAGTCTGAGCGATCACACTGACCTAATGGGCCTAGAAATCATTTCCAAAGCCAAAAACAATATTTAAAAAATGTCAATTTTATTTACAAAGTGGAATTTTTTGTGGCAGTACCTTGGTACTTTTATCTGGTCAGAGGTACATTTACAACAATTAGATGTGACAGGATCACTACATTAAACACATCATTTACAGACTGTACCACAAACTACCATCGATTGCCTACATTTTATCATATACTTGTTACTTGCGGTTTATTACCAGTGTACTTTAATGTCATGCTTACATGAATTTTGTCCTGTGCCGCATGATCAATAGCATTTTGCACACATGACAAAAGAAAATCATTCCAACAGACAAAGACAAGACAAATCAATATTACATGTCTGTATTGCAGTGTGTCTGTAATTTGAGGTAAAAGTGTATTAAAATGTATCACTAATTATACCAAATCCATGAATTAGCTGTCTAAATAACATTCCTATACTGTAGGTTCCTACCTGTGTCTACTTGGCTGCAGCTGAAGAACAAATTAATACCAGAGCCCCTGATGGAAAGAAGAAGTTAAAATGTTTCACAAAAAACAAAATGTCACAAGAATGTCCCTAGAAACTATTTTTAAAAAATGACTTTTTCCTCTTGTGAACACAACATAGTACATCAGTTCATTTAAAATTAGTCATTTAATAAAGTAAAATGACAATATTGTGTCATGATTTGTTTTCTTATATCCTTGTAATATTATAGAAATGCAATATTTCACAAAACATAACATTCTTTTAGAAACACTGGGATTAGGTGTGTGTTTATGTTTCCAGTTTTATTCTCACCATGAGAAAGAATGCACTCCATCGTGAACTTTTTTCCACTTGGCACCAAAGTCCAGAGAGAGCCACAGACTTCCCTGCAAGTCAGGAAACAAAGGATTGTTTAAGTTTACACTGAGGTGTGCGCATGATGTGTGCGTGAACATGGAGGATGCATACATGTGAATGTATGTAAGTGCAGGTTTTACACAGCGAATGGGAGACCAGGATGAACTTGGAAGTTTGGATAAATACTTCCAAAATGAGCAGGGGGAGGAGCAGAGGTGACACACAAAAGAGAGACAGAAAGAATCTAGTAAACTGTGTGACTCACATCAATACTGAGGGCAACAAGGTAGTCACGGTTGAGGAAGTGGTATGTGATTGGCTCAGCCAAGTGGAAGGGCAGCTGGATGAACTTGAAAGTTGCGCCGGCATCTGTAGAGGTGAAGATGATCCCACCTGGATTGTCCAACACTGGTGTGTCTGCTGTCAATATCACCTGTCCATTAAAAGTAGATCAAATCAATTAACAGCAGATACAAGAGGGACGGTTTGTCAGAGTAGATGTCAGGCTCCTAAAGAAAGTTTAACATGATTAAATATCAAAGGCACTTTGTTTACTACATGTTTAGCTTTTTTTGTGCAGAATGTCCAGAAGTTTTGGCTAAAATATGTCAGAGAAAAGTCTTTAAGGTTTACTGATACTAGATTTATTCTAAACATTTGCATCTCAGATCTCCATAGCACACAAATACAATGCATCTAATCTGATGAGGGAGAAGAAATTATGTAGAAAAAGCTGAATAAATAGGAGAAAGGGGGAGAAGGATTGCAACTGTGAAGATTCCAGCTAGCTATTTAAGATTTACTCCTGCTGTTACCAGGGCCAAAGTGTTATCCAAAGTTTGTGTCAATGCATTTCTTTGAGTGTATTTTTGAACATGTCAGCCAACACACCATACATAAGCAAAAGTGGTTTGAAAATGAAGCCGTGACGCAAGTTGAGGAGACAATTGAGCAACAAAATGTCATGATGTCTTCACACTTTTCTGAGGCAGTTTCACAAACACTTTGCTGTGTACAAACATGTTCCCTAACTAAAACTCAGTCAAACAAAGCCTTGTATCACAGCTTGGTAGGGGAGAACCAGATATCGACTTACAGAGCTCCCTGGTCCAACGCTAACTCCAAACTCCTCTCTTATAAAGGTGTTGTTGATCCGGTGGGAAATGTCGCGGAATAACTTTCCGTAATCCGTACTGATGAGAAAGGAGAGATTCCGTTTGTAACATGCTGCCCATGTTACGATGCAATTCCCTGTTATATATCACAACTCACCTCCTGTAAAGTCGTGAGGAGCCTGCATATAGGAAAGTATCAAGTGGAGCATTAATTGTAGACAGCACCAGGATGACCTAGGGAATGTGGTGACATGGTTAAAACGTAGACCAATTTTTCTAATATAAGTAGTTAAAACAACAAAATAAATAGCCTAAAAATATATTTTGCCTTATAACGTGTTGGAATAATGAAATGTGAATTGCCACAGGTCTGACAACTAAAGTATAAATTCTGAACATTTGCACATTTCTGAGTCAGGCTGTGTCTACGAAAGCAAGTGATGTGTTGTATGGAGATGTAATACTTCAGGTAGTATTAAGATACTCACTCCGGTACCATCACCCACCCATGTGAGAATTACATGAGAGCCATCATCACCATTAAACCCTGTCTAGGAGGAAGAGAAAAGAGAAAGGCTCACACGTGACCATTTCTAAAGTGAATCATAAACCAAACATAACCAACCAAAATCCATAGCGCTGCTTACAAAATGAGGTTAATAGCCTGATAAATATAATTGTTGATTATCCTATTGTCCGTAATTGTTAGCAGGTGTCATTTAGTATCACAATGGGGCTTAAAATCATTTTAATTCTTTATTACTTTATGTTTCTATTACAGTTTCACGTGTTTATTGTGTTTCTTAAATAACTTACAACTGAATACTATGGACCAAAGCATAACGCGAACTAACCACATCGCTCCCTGTTAGAGCCCAGCTGATCTGCTTTTGAGAAATTATTATTTTTATTTGTAAAAAAAATATGACTGCAAGATTAAAAAGATGCAGCAACTTCTTCGGGAGACATTACCCCTAACTCTTTTCACCAAACCTTCTCATCTTCAAAGCAACGTCACATAATTAAAACACACCTCATGAGTATTATCGTCCAGAACCTTGTTCTCAGCTGGAGTGAGGGGGAGCCGACAGGAGGTGAAGGGAGCAGGTTTGGATGTACCGCTGGTGCCTCTCCTGGGTCGTACACGCGCTTGGATCTCATCCTGCTGAGTCCGGTGGAAAGTCACCGTCCTCCCCCAGAGGCTTCTGCCTTCAGCACCCGTAAGAAGAGCGCACATCCCGAAGAGGACCACCAGTCTCCAGACCATATCGATACACTAATAAGAAGACGACAGTGGAAACGAGCCCTAGTGACTGAACTGCCTTCCGACACTGACTCAGTTTTAAAGCTGTTGCTCTCTACAGCCTAATGGGGCTGGTTAGTGCTTGGATAGGGGTCATTCACACAAAAAGTGCTGCGTCCTCCGCCAGCAGGTGTTTCTGCCCGTATCCGGGTGACCTGAGCTGCATGGAGGAATTACTTTTCAACGCACTTTGCGACCAGTGCAAAAAGCTAAAACGTGGGATTCAGTGCGAAGTTAATTTCTGATGCGTTCGCATATTGTCAAAAAATAGTGAAATTACGATTAACAGAGAAAAGATGGGGAGCAAGAGGCGTGAGCGCAGAATAACAGACATTCTATTGATGGATTTATCTTTTTTATTTATTTGCAATGGACACAACTGAACGCAAGAGGACGTCGTGCTTCAATTATAAGGTTTCAGGTTAAGTGAACATGCAACTCTCAGGGGTCAGGGTGGTTGGTTTTACGCACTGACGCACGACAAACACGGTCACTTTTCCCACAGTGGAGTTGTAAGCAAGTCAGCCACGTGTTTATTCGAAGTAAGCCCTCATCAAAAAACTAAGACAGCGAGATAAACTGTGCGACGGATGAAGTACAGATGTTTTTCTGCAGTCTGATCCGGCAATCCAGTTGCAACTATATTGTACTGCCATGGAAAATCAATACATTTCATGTCGAGCCGATGTCTTTTCCCCTCAAAAGTTGTTCAGATGCCATACTATGTAGGGTGAGACACAGAGAATGAGAAAGATTATTATTTTGTCTCTTTAAACAGTAATAGTTTTCTTTGGACTACAGCTCATGTTAATACTTTATCTTTTATACATTTTTAAAATAGGAACTAGTATCCAATTAGAGACAAAAGGAGAAAGGTTGTATTGGTTTATGCTGTTTAAAGGAAGGGAAGCCACACAAAACAAGAACTACTATTCTGTGGGCACCTGGATGGCACACGGTGTCAAAACATAAAATATAATGATTCACCTCTGTTGACTAGTCTCAGTTGTCAGTCTCCCACCCCCCAGTCTCAGATTTCATACCAACTAATTACAGTAAATAATGCTAAAGATAACTAGAGGTAAAACAAGCTTGGTTGCCCAGGTGCAGTGGGAAATAATAAAACAACAAGCTCAGGGTCCTACCTGAACTGTTTAACCCAGCTCACATATTGGTAGGGGCATTTCTTGCCTCCAATAATAATGGTAGGGACACATCCCTACCATCCATATGTAAAACTATTCCCTTGGACATATAGCTCTTTAAAGTTCTGATCAAGCTCCACAAATCCTACACTTCCCATAATGGTAGTAAATTCATTCTGTTGCAGGTTCAGCTTATGCTCATGTTCAGTTCAGAACAGTAGTACTTATAAGATTACAGGCTTGGCAGCCACCTTGCAGCAGTTATTGCATCATAGTTGTTTTTGTGGCTTTTGCAGGCTTTTAAGAAGTTGCAAAGCAGGAAGTGACACACCAACTGCTGACAATGGCGCTTTTAGTCCCTGCTAAGGGAATCTCCGGTACTGATACAGGCAGTGATAGTGGTAATTCAATGTACAAGATATGTTCGCTGCCTGAATGACTTTATGGCTCAGTAGCATTTCTGTCATCAGGAAGTGAATACTGATCCAAAAGTTATTCAACTGTAAAACTGAGGGACAAATCAGCCTAAAATCCTACCAGATAGCCAGACATCAGCGACAACGAGCTGGGGCTTCATCTCTTTGAGTAACTGCTGTCACATTACACATCATCATTTGACCATTTGATTCACTGAAGCATATTCATAAACCACAAGGACACAAGGTCCTGACTGTAGGGCTTGTGTCGTACAACCAGGAGATCTTTGTGACTGGTCTCTCCTACAGGTTCCAATAATGAATGATTTTTCTTTGTGGTCTAGAGAACTGAGGTCATGTCAGGACCCGTTACTCATGTGGGCTGTGAATTCCTTTGAGATATCACATGTGATTTTGTTAGAATCAATACGAATACATTTGACATGACTACTGCAAGTTGCCTTTAACAGTAAAGCATGTTTCTTACAGTGAAGATGCTTTGTGGGAAAATTTAACACATTTCATTATGTTACCCTGCCACATTAATCTTTAACTTTCTCTTTCAAGTCTCTTAAGAGGCTGTCTTCTTATACTCACTGAAATACTTGAATGCAATTTCAATCCTTTTATTAAAAAGAAAAACTCAAATACACAACAAAAAACAAAACCTTTCATGCTTTTAGTGCAAATCATTGTTCAGTAGTGATGTTATAGTCGTCATCAAATTTGTAGATGTAACACAGACTAGCTGCTATAGTGTTTAACAGCAGAAGGTACAAAGTAAAACAAATATAAGTGATGTGTGATTATGCATTGGCATAAACTCTTAGTGCAGAACACGTCCTACAAATCAGACATTACAATGATGCAGCTACACAACCATGGAACTAGTACGGTTATTATAAAGTCTCACTGTCTCTCAGTCCATTGCCACAGTGTCCAGCATGTCCACCCAGCAGATCTGCTTCACGGCCAAGATATTTCTCTTATGAGCCAATGTTCTTATTCACAGACGATCCTCTCTGGTGGCTACTTGATGAGAGTTCTCTCTGTGTATGGTGGTCTACATCCAGAATGTAGTCATGGTCCTGGATGTACATCAGGCCGCCAACGGAGTCCACTATTCCATAAATGATAGCAAGGACAGTCAGAGCTGTGCCAATTAAATAGAGCTTAAGGACTGCTGCCACCATGGCTCCTGTGGGAAAAGAGCACTTAGCTGCAGGAGAAAAACAAGATCTGTTAAATTTCTTATTGTGAATTTTCAGACACAGCAAGAATTTTAGATAGATAGATAGATAGATATTAACACACACATGAAAAGTAAATTACTGTATTACACAATATGGGAACTGGCAGAAGTTTACAGTAGGTGAAAGGGCTTCAATCAAATGTTCTGCAAGGAAAGGAGAGAGGAGAACACATCCACATGAGGAGCCAAGCACAACGATGCTGATTACATACAGGTGAAAAAAAATAATTACAAGACAAACCTAATTTGGATTTTGATACCAGAGTCGCGGTTGAGTTTGTGGGAAACCGTACGTGTGCATGTCGACGTTGTTCATTTTACGGTGTTGGCAACAAATAAGCCTTGAAACGTGAAGTCAAGTAAACGAACATGTGGGCAGCAGCCGAGTTATGGCCTAGCACATGGCTTTAGAAAAGACTAAACCTGCAAGACCGCAAGCGTCAGTTGTTGCTTGTTCCTCGTTTGCATGTCCTAAAACGTGGACACAGCATTTCGTAGGAAGAACTCACCAGAGGTTGCCTGATCTGCGGTTTCTTTGCCCGTTTCCTTCTTTTTCGTAGGCTGGCGCAATTTCCAAAAGCAACAAAGAAACACGACGTTTTCAGTTTGTTCTGGTATGTTGAGATCTCCACACAACCTGAAGCCCAACGCCGCCTCGTTCCTCTCTTTCTGCTGCTGTAAGAGCTCTATTATAAAGCGGCGTTAAATTACGCGTCACAGTGACGTCACAGGCAGGCAATTTCCTGAGTCTCTAGGCAGTGGTCACAGATTAGAGCAGGGGAATTTCTACTAGGATTTAAAGCTTGTTTTTACATTGAAAAGGGTTTCAGTCAGCTATTTTTATTTTTTTTTTGTCAGTTCAAGAATAATTTTGTAGCCTGTTAGATTTTATGTCCCCAAAGTGTGTTTTCAAGGTATTAATTAATCATACTTAGAGAAACAGCCGCCTGAAATTTATATAAATGGTTTTGAAACTCACGTGAGAAGTGTGAAGTCTCCACATTTCATAAGTTAATTTAGAAGAACTGTCATTTATCGCGTTATAATGTGGGTAATGTGCTGGACAGACTGGCCGACTAACTTACATTTCCACCCTTAAAGAAACTCTGATACTGTGGCAAAAAGGACGGGTCTGTGTTTTTGTTCTTAGTTGACATTGTTGTATATTCTCATCAAGGTTCAAGGGCAATAAGGCTACTGTAAGATCACCATGGCACCTCAGAGATTTAATCACTGAAGTTACCTGCTGTGCCAAATGCGTAAGGTGCGTAAATTCAAAGTTCAAAGAAATTGAGTTACATTTCACAGCTGTCTGGTCAGCGTGAGGATGTCTGGAAGTTGGCATTTCAAGGCTAGTTATAATGAAATGAAATGAAAGAGACATGATATACCTACAAGCGACATCCCGCATTTTGCCCTGCGCCCTGACTCTTGCTGTACTTAAATGCTACAAATCCTGGAATCAACTTTGTCCCAAAGCGCAGGTCAGCTTACCTGGCTGCTGGCATGGCAGGCATTTCAAGGCTAGTTAGCCTTGGTCAGCTTACCTGGCTGCTGGCATGGCATGTGTCAGGTGCGGTCAAAACGAACCACAGGTCAGGGGCAGCACCATGTCTTCACTTTTATTGTTTCAGGAAGATATATTTTATACTGTTTGCTGGTTTTATTGTGTCTAGTAGGCTAGCTGTTTTGCGTTCATATTAAAATCAGATTATTTGTTATTCGTATTCTTATTGTTTTCATTGCTATTATACATTTTTGGTGCCCCATCAGAGGCTTGACACCCAATAGGCACAGGGTGTGTCCTGCATTTACTGTAGGGCCTAGTTCTTGTTGGCTCAGCAAAAGATTGAGTAAACATCAAGGAACATACTGTATTCATAACTCATTCATGACACACATTCACAAAAAAAAAATTGATGGACTCACTCAGGCCTGTTCCTACCTCACCTTGTTAGAAGACCAGTGGTGTTTTGTTAGAAAAATAAACAAAATCTAGGGATTTCCTGTTTGCTCACATGCCAGAGTGGAGATTCCAGACGTTTACTATGGAAAACCTCCCATTTAGATGAATGAACAGCACAACATAGAAGTGCTGTTCTGTCTTTTTCATATAACAGTCACGAGTTCAGTTCACTGGAGGGATAATAGCACAGATGTAGGGTTAAATCTAAAACCATTTGCTAATGATTGCATCTGAGAGTATATCATTACTACACAGCTCTGTAGTTTGTACTTTCTTAGCTTGAATGAGTCACAGTCTTTCAGTTTTTAACTTCAAAGCAGTATTACCCTGAATGACGAGTCAAAAAAGAGTGGAGTGAGTCTGCAACATATTAACTCATACAAACACACACTGTAGAACTATTTTGGTTCTTCTTACCATTGCT